CCAGCATTCTGCCCAGGGTGCCTGTCACAGGACAGTGTGGCCTTAGAAAGTATACAATACCCGCTGTCAGTTTGCCCGATTTTGACCAGTTTCTTTGCCTCCTCCCTCAATTATACAGGAAGAAAGACGAAGATTGAAAAATGCAATCGTTATCCAGTCATTTATTCGAGGGTACAGAGACAGAAAACAGCAAGTAAGTTTGTTTTTAATTTTTCTTTTTTTAAACATTTATTTATGTGTGTGTGTGTGTGTGTGTGTGTGGCCAGCTCAGCCCACCAGGGGGCGGGGCTGGCTGGCATTTGGTGCTGGGGGATCGAACCACGGTCCCTTTGCTTTGCCAAGTTTGTTCCAAGTAGGTGCTTTAGACCACTGAGCCATCTCTCCAGCCCCGTAAGTTTTTAAAACAGAACATCATATGAGAGCAGGTATTAAATGTGGTCTTGTTCTTAGGAGCAGCCTCTTGTATGTGTTTATACCCCTGCTTAGGGGAAGTTAATGTTAGAAGTGGTTTTCTAATAAATACTGTAGAGCTATTAGGGCTGGAAATGTAGCTCATTGACAGAGCATCCGCCTGCAATGTGTGAAGTCCGAGTTCCATCCCCTGTACTGCAAATAAACCGTAATACTATTTCATTAGTTATATTTACATACAGATTTACAGTGGGTTTGGGTAATTTGTGGGCGTTTTTTGCTTTGTTCTTTGAGACAAGGTCTTGTTGTATAAGCCATGCTGGCCTTGAACATGTGCCAGTCCCAACTGCTGTACTCAAGTGCTAAGGTTACAGGTATACGACGCTGTGACTGGGTGTTTTGAATATTTTTAAATAGTAAAATAGAAACATGGGCCAAACCATAATTAGGATCAAAATAGAAGGGAGCATCAAAGTGGGTTGTTGAGTCAGTCTGTCTGTGTGTGTGCGGTACTGGGGGTTGAGCTCAGGGCCTTAGCGCTGAACTGCATCTCCGACCCTTTTTATTTGCAGTTTTGGCACAGGGCCTCACTGAGGCACTGAGCTGCCTAGGCTTGTACTTGTCGTCCTCTTGTCGCCGCCTCCTCCCAGAGGCAGAGCTGGGGTGTCATGTATACTGGAAAGGCTCTTTCAGCGGGCATTTAGGAACTGTTCTTTTCTTTGAATCTTCAGTGTCCAGCCCTCCCGCACAGTCTTTAGTCTTCATTTAGATGGTAGGAACTGGGCGCCTGGGCGCATGTTCATGTTGTTTCTCTGCTTGCAGTACTCCCTCCAGAGAAACGCCTTTGATCGCGGTGTCAGCGCGGCACAGCTGGGCGGCACCGTCTCCCTTGCCAGCGGTCCCAGCCTTACTGTCCTGGCGAGGCAGCTTCTGTTCTTCTACAAGCAAAGTGAGGACTCAAAGCGTCTGGTGAGTGTGCGTACAGCCCGCCTGCTGCTGTTTATGCTGTCTGCCTTCCCACTTGTTGTTGTTTTTTGTTTTTTTTTTTTTTTGAAAAATACAGAGATGGTGAGTATCTGATGGAAAAGCCAGAGAAGCCCTCCAGCCTGTGTGAGCCCTTTGGTGTCTTCCTCACCTCTGTAATGCGGCCTGTCTCATCGTACAGTTCGATCTGCACTTGAAACAGGCATCTGCAGTCTTAGTACGGGAAGTTTCAGACACAGAAGAGGCAGACTCTGCTGGCGCTGCCCTGCCCCAGCATCCCTCATGGTCTTGGCTGAGTACAGGCCGTCTCCCAGAGCGGGCGACCCACTGCACACTTCTGAGTGTCGCAGGCCCTGATGCTGCCAGTGAGGAGGACAGTGTTTATGAGCGCTGGGAAGTCAGGTCAGGTACATCAGGGCATCATTTTGTCAAAATGGAACTTCCTGCCTGTTTACCTATTAGAAATTTGCAGTATCTGTAAGGAAATCTCAAGGTGTATTTTAAAAGGTGGGGTCTATGATGAAAAATAGGTTCTATGCTGCAAGCATGCTTCCTAGAAAGTTTCCTCTGTGGTGGGTGTAAGCAACAGAGGAGTCCCTGACTGCATGCCTGGGGCTTGGTGTCAGCAGAAAATGTGCTATGTCCCTACCCTGTCTGCAGTGGCACGGCCAGGAGACCCACACCATGCAGTGTGTTCTAGACTTCTTGTAAAGTTCCTGAGGAACAGCACCAGGCACAGGTGCAGGCAGGCCGCGCAGCTTCCCCGCCCTCCTGCTCTGGTCTCGGAGATGGGAAGGTCGCCAAGGAGCAGAGACTAGAGCGGGCCCTGTGGGCGCTCTGCTGTCTAGAGGACCCGTTTCCTTCCATGATAAGGCCTGGTCTGTGACCCCACCTTGTTTCTTTCCTTTTGGTTTTTTTGAGTCCGAATTCAGCTGGCCTTGAACTCAAAGCAATCCTCCTGCTCAAGGCTGCAGTTTCAGGGATGTGCCACCACGCCTGCTTGACCTCTACCTAGTTCTGAAGGCTGGCCTCCAACGCAATGGCTTTGGTGCAGATTCTGAAATCTGTAGTAGACTAAGATGTCATCAAACCTGTTTCATACAAGGAGAGTGGATTTGAACATCTTGTGCTCAGTACCTAGCACTGCTTGCAAGAGCAGGCTTGGAGAAGCCCCTGCTGCTCCGTCTGCAGGTTCCAGGGTTCCCGCTGCGGGCCAGCGTAGCGTTACTTTTCATGGTCTTCGGAGATGCTCAGTGCGAAGCTAGAGCATGCACGGCCACCTTTCCACCTCCTTCCTTCACCTGCGTTACAGCTTTAAATAGGGTTCTCTGCTAAGTCAAGCAGTGTGCTGTGGTTATATATTTTCATGTACAGTTCACCTTCAGTTTCTTAACATTTGGTTCACTTTTTAGTTGCTTGCTTTTCTTTGCAGAATGCATCACAAAATTATTTCCTCCTAACATAAAACAGACTCTAAAATGTTATTCAAGGGGCTGGTGAGATGGCTCAGTGGTCTAAAGCACCTACTTAGAACAAGCTTGGCAAGGCATCAGGGACCGCGGTTCAATCCCCCAGCACCACATGCCAGCCAGCCCCGCCCCCTGGTGGGCTGAGCTGGCCACACACACACACACACACACACACACACACACACACACAGAACTCTACTACTGAACTACATCCAAAATAAAAGACTATAACAAAAAGTTATTCAAGAAGCTTTTCTATTATTTCCAGTGTTTAATAGGATTATATCAAATAAGTATGAACGTCAAAGGAGAAGCCACTTAAGGATAAGAGACAAATGGCTCTGTGGCTTTTACATAGCTGGCCATGTTTAAAGAGCTGTCTTTAAGTTCAGCTGGTTGTGAATCTTAGGAGAAAGAGTATTAGTCTGTTTCACAAAAATAGAGTAAGTGGAAGAGATTCCTTGTTAGGCATTATGTTTTCAGAGTCACTTACAGCACCTGTGCATGTACTGTGTACGTCAGTGCCTTTGATTGTGGGGACAGAAAGACTTGGCCATGCTGAGCTCCCTGGCCAGCTATGGTGGCTGAGTGGGCTGTCTTGGAAGTGTGGGGCCATGAAGAGGCAGGACATCTAACCTAAGATTAATCCTGTCTGTCCTGTATTTTTAGAGTGGCTTCCTGATGTTTGTAGATGAGCTATTTTTGTGTCCACAACATATACTTTGTTAAAGTAATTATGTAAACTTTGTTGTAATTATTTAGTAATTTAACTTAACACTTAGGTATTAAGATGAAAAGTACAAATATTACAAAGTAAAGTCTGATTTGAAAAACTTTTATACTAGTTTTTGGTTAGGTTTAAGTATTACTACTTGAGAAGGTTTTGTAAATAAATTAGCCAACATTTGTATGGTTTGAGAGTGGTATTTTGTGTGCTTTGCTGTTTCAGATATGGCTGTACCAGAACTTAATCAAACATAGCTCTGTGTTTGTCAAGCAGCTGGACGGATCTGAGAGACTGACGTGCCTGTTTCAGATCAAGAGGCTGATGGGCCTCTGCTGCAGGTAACTCACTGACCTGTGTGTCTGGGCAAGCAGCTTGCGATTTACATTTTTTGAGACAGTGGCTTTTCCATTGTATTTATTTATTTGTGTGTATTTGGTATAGGGGCTCACTACGCAGCCTGGACTCAGACGTGCTCCGTTTTCAGGCGGCCCCCCCTCCCGCCCACCCCAGCACTGGGATTACAGGCATGTGCCTCCATGTGCTGGTGCTGGTGGCACCAGCGCGGCATGCGAGACTGGGGGTCGAAACCTGGTCCCTGTGCTTGCCAGAGCAGGCAGTTTTTCCTTTGAGCTATCTCTCCAGCCCTTTTTCCATAAGTTTTTTGGGGGTAAGACATGAAATATTCTGCGTACTCTGATTTTTTGCTATAGGTGATTCTGGCCTGTGTGAGATAGAAATTAAAACAAACATAAGTGTCTTCGAGATGACGTTTTCTTACAGGGTAGCCTAGAGTTATCTGGTGAGCTGCCAGGTGTCCTCCTAGGTGTGTTGCTGCCTGCACACTCAAGAGGTTCTCAGTGGGAGGTGAGGCAAGGACAGCTTTCCGTCCTGTGAGCGGGCGGAGCCTTGTGAAAGGAGACGCCTGAGTGCTGTCATCACCAGGAACTCTGGTCGCAGAGACTTAGAGCTGCAGACTCCTTGGAGCAGCTGTGCTTTGAAAGCTGGCACGTGGAGCCGCTGATATCTCCCCCTTGTGTCTGTTACAAATTTGTGGTTTGTTATAAAGCCAAACCACAGCATCCATGTGACCTGGGGTCCTCACCTAGGTGTTTTGGACAGTGATGGGACAGGCATGGTGCACTGAGGCCTGTCCTGAGTGCTTTTGCAGCTGCCCTGTCAGATGAACACAGTGACCATTGCTGGGCAGGGGCCAGGGCCAGCTTTGGAGGTATGTTCACTGCTACACTGCAGAGAGACGCTGCGTGCGCTGCTCCTTCCTGCAGAGCAGGGACTGTGGCCCCGTCTATAGTGCAGAGAAAAGCAGTGGAGGGGAGCCAGTAGAGACTGAGAGCAATTGTCGGGGTGACGGGCTCAGTATGTCGGCCACAGGCTGCCGCCTGCCTCACATGAGTACAGAGTTGATGTGTAAATCGAGACTCTAGAATCTATTTGAAGACATTGAACCTGTTTTTAAATTAGGTTAAATTTTGTGAGAGCTACACCTCCCTTCTGGCTCTAATTCCTGTGCATAAGAGCCAGCTTAGGTCAAAGGGACAGCCTCTGCCTGTGACCTGTGGGTTAGGAGGAATCTTGGAGGCTGTGATGGGGCCTCCGGGGCCTGGCAGGTGCCGCTCCTAGTGCACCTGTGTGCTGGCCCGTCTGTGGTGTGCTGCTCTGCCTTTGCCTCCTGCCCGTGCATTTCTCATGACCCTGCTGAGGAGGCCTGAGAGGTAGCACCCGTCTTCCGTCTGTCTCATGAGGTGCACCTGTCTTCAGACATGGCTCTGGAACGGAGAGGTTCAGACATTCACTTTAGTAACCGAGAGGAATTTGGAGACCCTTCGGTGACTAGCCCCCCGTAAGGCTTGTTTTCCTTCCTTTTTCCAGGTTGCTGCAGAACTGTACTGATGACAGTTTGAATGTTGCTCTCCCGATGCGGATGCTTGAGGTGTTTTCCTCTGAGAACACTTACCTGCCTGTCCTGCAGGATGCCAGCCACGTTGTGCCCATCGTTGAACAAATATTGCACTACATGATTCACAGTGGTGAGCAGGGTGGGGCTGCATCCACAAGGAGACGTGATGAGGCCGCACAGGCCGGCCTGCTTCCTCCAAGCACTGCCTCATGCCTCGTCCCTGCAGAGGTGCCCGCCACTGTCCTGGGCTGCTCTGAATGTGGGGAGGCAGGCGGGCTCACTGTGCTTCATTGTCTCGTCTTAGCATGAGAGTGACAGTGGCTTTCAGGAGTGGCTCCAGCCCTTGAGCCTAGCTCGCCTCTGTGGTGAAGTGCAGTCCTTTCGAGAGCAAGTCGGAGGGGTCCCTGCTTCCTGTCTTTCTGAGGGGTGGGACGGGTGGCACCTGAGTCCCATGGGCCCCACGGCGTGAACAGCCTATCCTACAGCAGTAAATCTGACCCAGTCATTTTCATTGAAAGAAACTCACAAACCACACCTGAACGTTGCTTTTACTTGGTGAAGGGGGTGAAGGGTGTGGGAGGCTGTAAAAGAACACAACCTGGAGCCATGTCAGAACATCGGAAGGAGAGCTTACTGAGCTCATAGAGCTGTTGTGTCCACACAAAGTTGCTTGTGGGCCAGTCAGTCTTCTCAGGGCCCAGATTGTAGCAGCTGGGTATGTCACTTTCTCTAGTGGGAAGCTAAGTGACAGTGGAGACAGGGCTGTGGCAGGCCAGCTGTGGGAGGCAGGGCTGGGCGCCTTCTCTTTGGGGACTTCCTGAGGTAGGTCTGGATGGGCTGGGGGAGGGGAGGGAAGGGGAGGTCGGCTGGCACTGGCAGCAGTGAGTGGTGCCAAGCACAGATACCAGGGGCACCAGCCACTCAGCTCACATGTGTGTTCAAGTTTTTGTTAGTGTTAGACAAATTAACCTGCATCTGGAGCAGTAGAAATTTGTAAAAGAGACATAAAAATGAATTTTTCCTGTTAGAAGAAAAAACTTTAAATGTGTTTTTCCTTTCTCTTAGGGTATTATAGGTCTCTTTATTTGTTGATTAACAGCAAGCTTCCATCAAGTATTGAATATTCTGATTTGTCTCGAGTTCCTATAGCAAAAATTTTGTTGGAGAATGTCCTAAAACCATTGCACTTTACGTACAGCTCCTGTTTAGAAGGTGCAAGGTGGGTAAGAGGAATAGCTCTTCTGATGTCATGTCACAGAATCTGGATCTCGCAGTAACTCTCAGTGGGATGCTGCTTTTTTTCTTTTTCTTGTTTTGTTTTATTTTCAGTTTTCAGTTTTTTGAGCTGGGGCCTTACTGTGTAGGTCAGGCTTGCCTCAACTCACTGCGTAGCCCAGGCTGGCCTTGTGCTGGCGGTGAGCCCCCGCCTCAGGCTGAGAGTGCGGGTTACAGGCGTGGGCCGCAGCAAGGGGTGTTACTTTAAGTCCAGGCTTGTGGGTCAAGTTTTTGCTTTGTTGCTATGGTTTAGTCCAAAGGAACTGTTACTACAGTGCTTTTCTTTCTGCTGAACCTAATACAAATTCATACTTTCTGACAATGTCATTTTCCTACTTTGTATAAGCTGTGGATTCATCTAACTGATCTTAGATAGTTAATTGAGAAAGTAGATTGTGTAGAAAAATATTTGGAGAAGTAATTGTAAGTATGGACTTGACCAATTGATTTTGAGTCTACAGAAGGCTTCCCTTCTCCTTTCCAGGCAGCAAGTTTTCTCAGCCTTCACAGAAGAGTTTCTGGCAGCACCTTTCACAGAGCAGCTCCTTCACTTCGTCATCCCGGCATTAGCAGATGTACAGACCGCTTTCCCTTACGCACCCTTTCTGAATGCACTGTTGTTACTAGAGAGTAGATGTTCAAACAGGAGTGCTGGAGCACCATGGCTTTTCTATTTTGTTTTAACTGTTGGCGAAAATCATTTGGGTATGAAATACCAGATACATTTTACCTGAACTCCCACGTAGGTAGCAAGAGCAGCCGAGCCAAGAGGAGGCCTGGCAGGGGCGAGTGGGACGTGGCAGAAATGGTGTCTTGGGGCTCTGGGGCACTGCAGAGAGCAGATCAGGCTGTGGCCTAGGGACTGTGCGTGGCTGGGCAGTCGCAGGGACAGCTCTTGCGGGGCTGTGGTGGTGGTGGCGTGCCTCCAGGATGCTCGCCTGCGTGTGCACCTAGCGTGAGAGGCCTGGGAAACCCCAGCAGCTTGCAGCTCCCGCGCTGCACTGTTCTCCAGAGCGGCTCCCATGCACAGAGCCACCCCATGGCGGGCAGTGGCTGGGCATCCTGTAACCAAGTCAGTACTATGAGAGATGCCAGTGCACAGCCAGGTGCAGAGGTGCTTGGGGAGGACCTGGAACTGAGCCCCTGCCAGCCTGCCTCTGCCTGGCCTGCTGGCCCCACTGACAAAGTACAGTGATCAGAGGTGACCTGGGATGAGCACACTGAAAATCGTGACTCAGTGGGACTTCCTGCCTGGAAAGTGACACTAGCTAAGCAGTTTGTGCCTGCTTGTTCTGCAGGAACGCTCTCGGAGGAGGGCCTGCTGGTCTACCTGCACGTGCTCCAGACCTTCCTCTTGCAGCTGCCCGCGTCACCTGCTGGCACCAGCTCCCATGACACTTCCAGTGACTCCGAGGATGAGAGTGAGGAGGCCGGCCGGCCCACCACTCCAGTAAGCACCATCTATTGCCATGGCTGCTCCTGGGCGCTTTCCTAGTTATGTTCTGGTTTGGGTTAGGGCGTATCTTGTGATAGTCACTGATTTGAATCCCAAGTACACTTTGGAGTGGTTCCATTTCTGGGTGAGTCACGTTTTCCGGGTGTCAGGAGGTACAGGGTGGGCGAGTACTACGCTTATGGTGCAGACAGCTGCTCTGTGTGCCCAGAGCCAGAGTGAGCCAGAGCAGGTCCTTGTGGGCACGAGGGCGTGACTAAGACGTCCTGCTGGGTGCTGGAATTGTCACATCTGCCATGACACAGAGGTGGTGGACAGACTCGGGGCTGTACTGCTGTGATCCTAGCTACTCTGGAGGCTGAGGCAGGAGGCTCACAGGTTGAAAGCCACTTTGGGCGACTTGCCGAGACCCTGGAGACAACGGGTGAGTGGGACAGCACCTGCCTAGGATGCGCAGTTCAGTCCCTAGAACTACAAAAACAAAAAGCTCAGAACTATACGACCAAAAAAAAGTATGAATTTTGTTGTGTGTCCAGAACAGCGTATTTTTGTAGCTGAAATACAGATAAAATTTGTCTGTAGAGGAAAGTTCATATTTGAATAATTATCTTCTAGAAAATCTGTAAAAGTAAAAAATTGTTTTTCTGCAGTGTGCTTGGTGTCCGCATACTGCTGAGGGTGTAGGCTTTGTCAGGTAGGGAGTGACAAGCTTCCCTGAGGGTGCCCCAGGGCAGCAGGCAGCTCAGCTGGGCCAGCACTCGAGAGGCCCTGCACTTCCCGCTGCCCGGCTGGGTGAGAGATCTCATCATTGGTTGTGCCAAGTGTCACTCTACTGGATTTTTTTTTAAAATAGGTACAAGCTTCGAGGTCTACTTCTGTCCAGCTCTAGTTTTCTTTTCAATCTTCATGTTTCCTTGGCCTTAGGGGTTGTCCCTTTGCTCCTGCCTGCCTTGAGTTGAAAAGCCATATGATCAAGTTGTGAACTGGGGATCATTTGTGGCCCTGTCCTTTATGTGCATGTTTATATGCTGCTTTTCTGTCCAGTGATTCTCATCCTGCAGAACTCTATTTGGTTGTGTAAGGTTTTCACATTCAGAGTTTACCCTTTATAATAAAGTTTTGTTTCACAGCTAAATGTCCTGGAGGATGCTTATAGTTTCTATATAATCTGTTCACATACTATGTATAGTTTATGTTTAAATTGTACACTTCAGGGATAGAAAGATAGCTCAGTAGAATAAGCACTTGCCTGGCAAGTGCAAGGTCCTGAGTTCAATCCCCGATACCACCCCCCCCAAAAAAAAAAAAAAAAAAAAAAAAAAAAAAAAAAAAAAAAAAATTGTATGTTTCAGAAATAGTACCGGGGCTGGTGAGACGGCTCAGTGGTCTAAAGCACCTACTTAGAACAAGCTTAGCAAAGCACAGGGACCACGGTTCAATCCCCCAGCACCACATGCCAGCCAGCCCCGCCCCCTGGTGGGCTGAGCTGGCCACACAAAACAAATAAATAAATAAAATTTAAAAAGAAAGAAATAGTATCTATATTCTAACGCCTTATTATGTGTATCTTAAAGATTCGACTTCAGGTTAAATTTATGAATTATAATCTAAAGCAGTATCATTCTTACATATATCAAACTTTCTAAATGGCACATTCAGCAGTACTTAAAATTCCACCTGGTCTTCTATATGTGAAAGTATACATTTTTGGTTAATACCCTAAATGCGTATGCTGTATGGCCTAGTGACTTAGGCTTTGTTCAGCGCCTCACATATTCTAGACAGATTGTAAGGTAATCAGATTTTTCATCATCCGTATTTATGTCCCTTGGTAGTTCCGTGTCCAGTGGCACACCTGTGACTCCAGCTGCTCTAGAAGCTGCGGCAGGCAGATTGGAGGACAGCCTGGAAATTTAGTTGAGGCGCTGTCTCACAAAGGGGCAGGGGCTAGCCAGATCACTCGGCAGACTGAAGCGCCCGCCTAGGCAGGCACAGGCCTGCAGTTCTATCCCCATACCGCGTGCCTGGCCAGCCCCGCCCCCAGGCGTAACGGTGCACGCCTGTAACCCCAGTGCTGGGGAGGCTGAAAGCAGGAGGGTCCCCTTGAGTCCAGGCTGCATGACGAGACCCTGCAACAGCCAAGTGGGGGAGGGGTTGGACTGTAGTTTAGTGTGATGCCCTAATTTTAGTCTCCAGTACTAAAAAGTTAATTTCTATTTTCTTTAAGCTGTGATCTCAAATAATGTAAAGTAGAAATGCTTTCTTACTACAACTGAACCTAAAATATTTGGAATGAACTTTTCTTAAATACTGGGGCTGGGGAGATAGTTTAGTCGAATAAGTGCTTTGGCAAGCACAAGGTCCTGAATTCATCCACAGTACTGCAAAAAAAAAAAAACAAAACTGAAAATGTGTTGCACTGGCGGGCAGAAACCAAGCAGTCCTGGTCTCTGTACTGTCAAGCTGGGCACAACGGATGCCAGGAGGGGACTGGAGCTCCAGAGGATGACAGGTGGCCTGGAGCGCGTTAGGTCACCGCGTGTGATGTGGGGCTTCACACTGGCCTGTTGCTTGGTTTCTCTATGGGGAGGAGGGCTTGGAACCTTGCCCACACTCAGGCCCTTGTCCTGGTTCTTGCAGGGGGATGGCCGGCTGTCCGCCCACTGCATCACTGAGGAGTGTCTCAAGAAGCTGGACACGAAGCAGCAGACCAGCACCCTGCTGAACCTGGTGTGGCGGGACTCGGCCAGCGAGGAGGTCTTCACGCGGATGGCCTCCATCTGCCACACGCTGATGGTGCAGCACCGCATGATGGTGCCCAAAGTCAGGCAGGTCTCCGCGCGCCTGCCTCCCCTGCTGTCACCGCCGTTGTTCTCTGACAGAACAAGATGTATAAAGTTGGGTTCTCCAAGCACTGTGTAGAAAATGGAAGGTTTTGTTTTTAAAACAGTTAATATACTTGACCTCTTTTTTTTTTTTTTTTTCCTGGTTCCCTGCTACATGTAATCACTAGCACATCAAGCCAACTGTGTAGCATCTTTTGTTTTTAAAGACAGGACCTTGTTATGTGGTTCAGGCTGGACTTGAACTCAGTCTGGCCTAAACCATCAGCAATCCTCCTAGTTTTCTAAGGCTTTGAAATAAACTCAGTTGAGTTTATAAACTCCGGTCAGTGAAGCAGAGCATCCAGGCTTGAAGTCCCAGCCCGTTTTTTTCTCGGGGAGTACAGCCATGGGCCCGAGCCGTTTCATCTCCGCCTGTGGAGGAGGGGTCTCTGGGGCATCTGCAGAGGAGCCTTGAGGGCCGCGTGCCCCTGGGGGAGGGGGGTTCTGCTGGGGCTGAGGTGCAGGAGTTCAAGGCAGACTGCAGAAGACACTATCTGCCAAGAAACAGGTCCCACGCGTATTTGTGTCGTCCCCACCACATTGTCCAGTGTTTCCTGTTGCCTGGGACACAGACCCAGAGGGAGGCCGCGCACTGTGGGTTAGAATTGCCTCGTAAGCATGATGCCGTTGGCTGGCATCCTAGGGAGAACCCATTGCTGTTTACAGCAGAGGAAGTCGGGCTCTGTGACCCCCGTGGGCCATGAGCTCTTGTAATATAATGGGAGCCAGGACCCCAGCTTTTTTTGTAACCCCGAGTCCATTGCCACAGTGCAGTGACTGCTGGACAGAAGCACGCTCCGTGCTGGTGCTTACGGGTAAAGCAGCTCTCGAGGCTGGGCCTTAGGAGAGCTTGCCTATTTCCTTTAAGAGACTACCGTAGCAGTGACTACTTTAGGGTTTAAGCGCGTTTTTGTTTTAGTATATTTTGTACAGGGTCTCACTGTGCAGCTCAGACTCCTAGTGATCCTCCTGCTTTTAGCCTCCCCAGTGCTGGGATTACAGGCTTGTGCCACCACGTCCGGATTGGTCTCCAGCTCAGCTCGTGGGTGGCGGGGGCACAGCATGTGATACCAGGGATTGAACCCCAGTCCCTGCGCTTGCCTAAGCAGGCACTTAGTCCACTGAGCTATCTTGCCGGCCCAAAGTGTATTAGGTTTTAAGTATATTCAGAGTTTTTTATAGTTCATGGAACAGGCCTACTTTAACTTTCGTAGTTTTAACTGGTTTCAGTTTTTTAAAAAGCATTAAAATGTTGATTAGGATGCTCTCAGCTCGTAACTCATCCTTGACCTCCTCCCTGCCTAACGGCGGTCCCTCTTAATGTCAGCTTGCTGTTTTAACAGTTGTCAGGAGTGTAAAGGGATCTGTAGACTCTTTCTACACCAACGTGGGAAAATTCCTAACACAGGTGTGTGTGCGTGGAAAACAGGTAGAGAGCAGTATGTGTGAGTGCCTGCTCGTGTAAAGAAGACAGATAAAGACGTGTGCGAGGACCTGTGAAAGCCCCAGTAGGACTCAGGAAAGCACAGCTGTGAGTCTCAGTGTGCAGAGCGGCTGGCTTTGTTGGTGTTGGAAATTGAGCAGCTTAGAATTGTTAGGTAACAGATGAGTTGTTGGCTCCTTTATTCAGAGGAAATTTCTTACTAGAGGACAGGAAATCTGAATATAATTTGGCATTAAAGTCAGTTTTTCTTTGGGCTGGGGATTTAGCTCAGTGCTAGAGGAACCATGCAAGAGACCTTAGTTTCCATCCCCAGCACTGTAAAAAAGTTGTTTTGCCCTTAAGAAAATACTAATGATTTAAAATGCAAATAAACATGAAGCAGATGTGGGCAGATGGCACTCTTGTCCAGAGTGACGGGCGTCAGGCAGGGCCACAGCCTGCCCCCGGGAGGCTCTTCAGTGCTGTCCTGAATGGGCTGCAGAGCCGGCCCCAGGGCCTTCCCCTGGCGTGCTGCTCCTTGTGTGCACGGCTGCGTCCGCGGCCGTCCAGGTGCCCAGCGGGCCTCCACGGCTCACCCGTGGGGGGCTTGCCTGTGCAGTACCTGGTGATCTCCAATGGCCTTGTGTGTCCTCCCCTGACCCCGGCTCTGCTCCCCCAGAGGTCGCATTCCCATGGCCTTTCTTTCATTCTCGGCTTCTGCTATTTCTGTAATGGGTTATGCCTGAGGACTTGCTAAACATCTGAAGTCTGTTTTTCCTTTTTCAGTTTTGTTTTGTTTTGTTTTGTTTTGTTTTGTTTTTTTTTAAGTTGATTCTCTTTCATAAAAGCAGCTTCAGCCATAGCCAGTGACCTCTCAGGGCTCACACTCAGGGCCAGCTGACAGTGAGGGCAGTGCCTCTCCGGACCCATAGGGTGCCTCCTCCTCGGCGCTGAGTGAGTGCCCACTTCATTAGCTCTAGTCTCATGCCTGGAGCTCGTCTGCCTTGTGTACAGGCCAGTCCCTCAGTCGCCTAGACTCACGGCTGGTGACTACTGGGAGGCGAGTGAGCCCAGTCTTCGCTGGCACTGTCCTGAGATCCCGATTTAGGCCTACTTTCCTCGGTGTCCCTCATGTGCTGTGGTGTCAGAACTGTGTGTGTTATGTGTTTTGCCATATAGAGTTGTCAAAAGTACATCCCTGATTTCATTCTCTTGCTTAAACTTTGTAGTGGCTTCCCTGTGCTTTCAGGAAAACTTCACATTCGTGGGGTTGTGAATTTGTGTGGCATCCTTTCACTGTCAAGTATTTGGTTTTACTGCAGTCATATTTAATCACACACAGTTACTGATCCTTTCATCTGTCTCCCTGCCTCTCCAAGGCATGCTGATCTCTGCAAATGCGGCCTCCTGTTGGCCTGGCGTGGATGGTGGGAAAATGCCCTTTGAGGTGTGGCGCTTTGCTCCCTCGATAGATCTGAAAACTTTGGAATGGGGTGCTAAAGGTAGTATGCGAAAGACCAGGAAGGCTGTCCCCAAGTTTGCCTGTATGTTTCATACTGACACATCCAGTCAAAAGGGTCGCAAATCAGTTCTGTCCCACATGTGCTGAACTCTTCCACCAAGACATAACAGGATGAAGCAGCCTGGTGGCACTGTGTTATTAATCATGGTGATTTAGGCCATGTGTGCCCTGCAAGGGTGGCACTGTCTGCTTTTGCTTTTTCTCAGCAGTTCCCCTGCACAGTAACAACTGCCTCTTCAGTTCTTGATGTAAGAGTTCACATCTCATGCTTTATTAATCTGGGAAAAGTGATTATGTCAGTATTTTTAATGGAGAAAAATACATCTGTTTCATTACATGTATAGAATTAAATGCTGTAAACTGTTAATGTGATTTATAAGCAAAATTTTGTATTTTAGAGAAAATATTGAAGATATACCTGGAGAGAGAAATAAATTTGCTTGTGATTGTGGCCTTAATTTGTTGGTGTGTAATCAAAACATTAAGCCAACTCTTGATTCCTGTTAAATTTTTTCCTTTTTCATAAAGTTCATATAAAACTGATAAGCTTTAAAACATTTAAACACAAATAATGGTTCTCTAAATCTCCTGTAGTGAGTTTCAAAACTTGAGAGTTTTCTAAAGGTTTGTGAGTAGTAACTGATTCCCAGGAAGCCATAAGTAGACTTGAAGAATGCTCGTCGTGTTCGTTTTGATGTGTTGCTTTCTGCGGGGAGGGGTGGGTTGTTTGCTTTGGTACAGGGAATTGAAGTCAGAACCTTGTGCTTGCCGGGCAAGTGCCGTGCCACTGAGCTGTATTCCTGGCCCCCTCGGAGTTGCGTTGGATTCCCATCCTTTTAAGATTTCTTTTTTCTTTTTTAAGGATTGTGTAATTAAGAAGCAGAAGTTTCCTGTCATCATTTCTGTGAACAGGTTTTGATGTCCTTTGTGTTGTTTCCTGAGTTTGGGGCAATCTCTTGTTATTCTTTGCATCATCTAGCAGCTGCTGTTGGATTGATTTATTGTGGGCCCTTGCTGTTTTTAGGAAGTCTTATTTTCAAGATGCTACATTGTAAACCCGTCTTTTAGATCTGATACTCTGTCCTCACATTGGTTAATTCCTCTACATAAACTTTGAGTAGAATTTTTCATCTGGATATCTGTTTGAATCTGTTTCTTTCCCGTGTTGCACGTTCCAGGTCTCCATCTATTTTTTTTTATCTGTACCTGTTCTAGATTCGCTAACAATGTCCTTCATTGTGGTCACCGTCTCCTTAGTTGTAGGAGTCCTGCTCTCTGACTTGTTTTCTGCTAGAGCCTCATTCATCTGCTTTGCTGCTCCACGTTAGCACTCCAGGGAGTTCAGGTGGCAGCACGCGGGAAGGAGAGTCAGAAGCTGTCATGAGTGGGGGGCATCGCTGCTTCTCGGCTTCACTCACACTAAGGTAGGAAGGAAAGTGCATTTTGGAGTCTGTTAATATGCATTAAAATCAGGGGCTGGTGAGATGGCTCAGTGGTCTAAAGCACCTACTTAGAACAAGCTAAGCTAAGCAAAGTACAGAGACTGCGGTTCAATCCCCCAGCACCACATGCCAGCCAGCCCCGCCCCCTGGTGGGCTGAGCTGGCCACACACACACACACACACACACAAATAAAATAAAATTTTAAAAAAGAATTTAAAAAAAAAAGAAAAATCCAGTCACTAGGAAGAGGGGAACCACTTACCTGACCTGCGAGAGAGGCTGTGTGTCTCAAGAGTAGCTCTTGTTTTTAACTCCTAGTGTACCTGAAGGATTTTGGCAACTTGCTCTAAGATGAAGTACAGGGCCGGGGAGATGGCTCAGTGGAATAAGCGCTTCCCTGGCAAGCGCAAGGGCCTGAGTTCAATCCCCGGTTCCGCAAAAAAAAAAAAAAGAAAGAAAGAAATACATCTTAAAATATTTATTATCACTAAAGAAACCTGAATTTATGTTTAATTTTATATTAGCGTTTAACGTTGCTTCTGCCTCTGAGTGGTTGCTTCCGCAGAAGACTGCGTCACACGTGTGTGAAGTGTCTGAGCGGCAGAGGCCATGTGTCCTGATGTGCTTCCGAGCCTGGCACCGTCCTCTCGGCGGGAGTCCTGATGCGGGCGGGACACCTGGCTCTGTGTTCGCTCCAGTGACCTGAGCTGGAATTGCTGCCCTCAGTAATTAACTCAGGGCTGTTACTGCTAGATCAAGCTTACGGGGTAATTTTTAATCTGTGCCAGTACATGGCAAGAATCTATTACTTTTCCTCCTCTTGGACGTAAAGCCTCCAAACTAATTAAATTTGTAATTTAATTAAAAATTTAATAATTCATTATTACCTATTGAGTGATTTAGTAAACAGAATTATTTCAAAATTAGTTTCAAATGTAACTATTGAAATTATTAGGGGCCTGCCCATTAGCTCAGTTGTTTAAATGACTTCTTAAAGTAATCAGGATGCTGTGGTTCGATCCCCAGATCCTCAAGCCATACCAGAGCTGCCCTGAAGGCATCGCATCCTGAGCCAGCCAAAAAAGAAAAGAACAACACTTCTGAACTATTGAAATTATATTAAAACTGCTTAAAATATATAAACATGTTAACTATAATCTGAGGGGAAAAACACAAGAGAATGTAGGAAGATCCCATGTATATACGTATGTGTAAATAAAAGTATCTGGGTAGGTTTTATAGCAGGAATTTACTGATTATTCCTGAATAGGTGAAACAATGCTTTTTTGTATGTGTTTTGCTTGTTCCTATTTTTGTTGTTGTTGTTGTTGTTGTTGTTGTTGTTGTTGTTGTTGTTGTTGCAATACCAGGGATTGAACTCAGGACCCTACGCTTCCAGGCAGGCGCTTATTCTACTGAGCTGTCTCCCTGGCCCTTTCCTATTTTTCATGTGGCTCTTGGGTGTACTTAGCAGAAGTTCACAAAAGCAAGCAAAAGAAAACTTTAACATACACATATATACAGTTTTTATATTTACACATTAGGCGTATGGTAAGACTACTAAATGTCTGTGATAGGAAGTAGGTATTCTTTTCCACTACTGTTTCAGGTTTTGGCATACTAGTCTTTTGAAGTGGAATTTAGTAGATACTAATAATAGGGAAATGGTATATTTAATAGCTTGGTTGGTTTCCTTTAATTTGTTATTGCCACTTTTGTTATTCTAATAAGGTCTTATTTTTGTAAATTGTATGTGTGTGAGTGTTACCTGGGGGTTGAACTCAGGGCCCTGTGTGTGGTAGGCAAACAAATGAGATTTTTTTGCCCTTCCACCTGACTGTGAGATTCCTGTCCTGTGGAGCTGTCCCCTGGAATCTGCATGGCCAGGACTGCCACAGTCGCGCCTGTGCAGACATCCACACTTTCACGCTCTGTCAGTTCGTAAGACCTGTGCCCTGGGAAAGACTGTTCGCGAGGCAAGCAGCCTGCTTTTGGCTGAAGTCACATTGGAAGAGTTGGCGGGCCGAGTAGTAGAGCAGGTTCCTGCCCCCTAAGGGCTCACCATGCAGGTGTGTCTCTTTCCTGCTACTGCTGTATTTTGAGATTATATTCTTAGTATGCTTTGGACAACTCAGAAATCACCAATCTGAGGTGAGAATGGAATTTTTTAAAAGCCAGTGTTGTATGATCCTGGTTGTGTACTCAGAAAATGCTGATACTAACAACACATACGCTATTTTGGATTAAACACTAAAAATTACTTGACCATAGTTAAGACCTTTTACATCGCAAAAATGCCTTGTTATTTCTCTTCTACTATGGTTTTTTGGGTTTTTAAAAATTTTTTAATGTTTTTATACAGGGTGTACAGGGTCTCACTATACAGATTGGACTCAGAGTGATCCTCCTGTTTTCAGCCTCCCAAGTGCTGGGATTACAGGGGTGTGCCACCACGCCCAGTTGCAGTGTACACTGGCAGCAGGACTGGCACAGCATGCTGGGGATTGAACCCCCTGTGTCTGCCAAAGCAGGCACTTTAATCTGCTGAGCTGGCTGGCTGGCCCTGTCTATCTACTATGTTTTTTTCCCCTTTTCTTGCAGCACTGGGGATTGAACTCAGGACCTTGTGTTTGCCAGGCAGGCACTTATGCCACTGAGCTAGTTCCCCAGGCCTACTGTGGGGTTTTTTTGTGTGTGTTTTGTTTTTTGTTTTCTTTTCTTTTTTTTTTTTTTTGGCTGAACCGGGGGTTGTACTCAACCCCTTGCGCTTGCCAGGGAAGCACTTATTCCATTGAACCATCCCTCCGGCCCCTCTACTACGGGTTTTTAAGTCTACATTTTTCTTACAGAGTTTAGTCCCCTAAAATATTTTGCATTGCTCTTGTTACAGGAACAGGGACTCAGTGCGGAGGGAATTGCAGGTGTACAACGGATAGTGATTTTAGTCAGATGATTACGTTGCTGTTCATGCGTTTCCATATGAGATCAGACACTTCTGGAGAGACTCCTGGCCGAGAGCCCCTTGACAGAGGCAGCCAGGCGCCTTCTCTGCCTCCAGCTGACTTGTGTCATCAGGGTCACACAGCGCCTGTCTCTAGGTCTGTATGTAGTGCAGTGACACTGGCCAGAGGTGCTTGCTGAAGGTGCTGCGGTTGTGGAAAGCCCAGGAATCGGTGTTAGACGCAGCCCTACTCAGGAAGCATGAAGGAGTTGGGTGTGGTGGCACGCCCTGTGATCCCAGCACTTGGGAAGCTGAAGAGAGGATTGCTGTAAGCTGGAGGCCAGCCTGGGCTACCTAGGGAGACCCTGCCTCAAGAAAATAGAAACCAGCGTGGAGACCAAATATGTCAGTCGTTAAAAAATCAGAATTCTGTTCCTGCAGTACTGCTGAGTTGAGGTTTTCAAACCAGGGTCATTCCTGATACATCTCTGTTTGCCGTGAGAAATACACTTAGTTGTGTGTACTGCATCAATGGGGATTATTGTTCTACGAGTTCTTCTAAAATGCTTCTAGTGAAACATTTTCTAAATAAAAATAGCACTTCCTACTATTCTCAACTTATGCCTTCACTGTGATTTTATCGCACACGTTTAGACTTTATTTTCTTTCTTTCTTTTTTTTTTTTTTTTTTTTTTTTTTTGCAGAACCGGGGATTGAACTCAGACACTTGTGCTTGCCAAGCAAGCGCTTATTCTACTGAGCTATCTCCCCGGCCCCTAGACTTTATTTTCGACTGCTGCTTCGTCTCCTAGGTAGATGGAGACTGCTAGAGCATGTATCCTGTCACAGCAGGGCCAGCTCCCCGTATACAGGTCTTAATGTGTGTAGAGATGAAAAACCCATAAAATCTGCTTTTAAGCTGGGTGTAATTGGTCCACACCTGTAATTCCAGCTCAGCACTTGGGAGTCTGAGGCAGGAAGATCACAAATTGAGTCCCAGCCTGAGCAGCTTAGCCACTCATTAAGACCCTGTCTCACAATTAAAAAGGACTCAGGAGTTAGTTGAGTGCAAAGGCCCTAGGTCCACTCCCCAGCAAATGCATCTTTAGAGCTATTTTTGAAGTCTTGAACGTTATTTCTATTTCTTTTAAGAAGTGTGATGTCAGACTGTTAGTGTCTTACACATGCCAAAGGTGGGTCGTTAGCAAGCCCTGGATTCTGCTGCAGTCCTTGAAGGTGGCATGCTGCTGGGCTAGGCTGGGGCCTCGCTCCTATGAAGCATCCTCAGCATCAGCGCTGGACTCTGGCTGGATGACACTTGATACTTGCAGATGGCCCTTGTTGGGTGTGTGAGTGTTTTAATAGAATGAATATTTGCTCACTGCAGCTGTTCTGACTTACGCTATTTCTTTTCAGGCTCCTCTACAGTTTAGCCTTCAATGCCAGGTTCCTGCGGCATCTTTGGTTTCTTATCTCTTCCATGACCACGCGGATGATCACAGGGTAGGTGTTACAGATGTGCAGAAAGGGCCCCCACAAAGGAATGTTCAGAGGCTATATTAGAAAACAATCTTGAATAGCCTTAATTTTATGAAAAGAAAAATTAATTCTGAGAGTATGACTTTATCTGAAGGTATATGTTTTTAAATTGTCATTTGAAAGTCTTCATTCCATTTGATACTATTACCATATACTTTTGGCAGCAAGAATAGATTCGAAGCAAGTTTAACCACATTATAAATATTAAACCAGTGTGAAAGCCTGGTGTGGTGGCAAGTGCCTCTGTACCACTATTTGGAAGGCTGAGGCAGGAGCATCATGAGTCTTAGGTGGGCCTCGACAACATAGTAAGACCTTATTTTAAAAATTTTGTGTAGCCATTCTAAAAGTTGATTTTTTTAAGACTTGCTTTCTCACATATGAATCATTATATATCCTGAGCCAGCATCTTTATATACATATTTTTTAATTGAGTCCATCATAGGTACAAATTTCACATTTAAAACTCTTTCCTGGAAAGTGGAGTTAGCCCCTTGTGACACAGTGCTGGGCAGCTTTTCTCCTCAGTCTGCAGTCTAATTCCACACTGTGGTGACACTAGAAGGTGAAGTGAATGGCTCACTTGAGTGAGCGGTGAGCTGCACTTGGAGGTCCTGCTTGCTGTCGTAGGCACAGCAGTCAGAGACCACCTGTGGGGAGCAGGGCCTCCTGCACGGGGAAGGCCTTCGGGGTGCGGGCAGGACAGGCAGCTGGCGGGAGAGTTAAGTGGTGGGTCAGATGTCCAGAGTTCGCGAAGGCACTGCCGATGCTGTGGCTGATGGCAGTTGAATGTGTCCCTGTACAGGACGTGAGGCCATTTGAGCTGTGTGACGCAGCAGGCATAGAGGGCCTTCCTGAGGCCTGGGCGTGTGGCACGTGGAGACCCTTGGATGCCGGCGCCCTCTTGTTGCAGCTACATCATCATCCTCAGGCCACCCCCAAGTGCAGGGGAGAGTGTCAGCTTATGGACAGTTTCTTTTGATTACGTTTGTGGTTTTCATTCAATCTGAATGTACTTCAGTGAGTAGAGAGGAATATTCAACGATGTCCCTGCAGCTGGTGAGACTCCAATGCCCTGTGATTTTTCTTGAATCAACGGTCATCTAAAAGAGCTGGATATTTGGAAAAATCCCATGCGGAATGAAAGGCTACTCCTGTTGTGTTGTGGCTGGGGCGCTTCAGCCACATCTGACTGTGCCGGTGTCCGTCACCAGTGACAAGTTTACTTAAGGTGAAGGGACATTGGGATCATTAGGACAGGAAATTGCCATTTACCTGTGAGTGCGCCAGCTTGGCAGCGGGGACATGGCCATGGGCAGCCTGCTGACTGCTTCTTTGTTTATGGTGTTTGTCTCTTGGAAGGAGATGGAGTCATGATGTGTGAAAGAAAAATGAGATACTGTTAATTACATTAGCTTATTAATATTGTGAAAGGTGATAAAGACATAAAGCGTTCCGAAAACCTTATTTCTGAAACAAACAGTTGAGAATTTGTGTTTCTTTTTACTTGCTTATTAAGACAAAATCTCAGAAGAAAATTTCTAGTATATTGATGATTTATAATATGAGTCTGGTCATATTTACTATTACGGAAAAAGTTTAGATTGTAGCGCCTGGCTCAGGGTGGTGGCACACATTTGAATCCTAGCGCTTGAAAGGCTAAAGCAGGAGGATCTCCATCAGTTCAAGACCAGTCCAGGCCTGGGCTACGTAGTAAGTTCAAGGCCAGCCTGAACTGCATAGTGAGATCCTGTCTCAACAAAACAAAATGACTGAGAAAGAAGCCTGACTGCAGATGCAACCGAACTTAATCTGAAGTTGGCTTCACAGCCAGACTTAACAGCTGGCACTCTTGGCTCTGGGGAGTGAGTATAAGAGTCTTAGGGGGCTTGCTGAAATGCAAATCCCTTGGTTCCTCACCCCAGGCTGCAAAGGGCTGCCTGACTGTCTCTAGGTTGGGTAGCAAGCAGCTGTTTGGGGGCTTCAGACTGCAAGTGGTATTTTGGTTGGTGTACTTCATTTTCCACTGGAATAGGGTGGTTCTGCGTCCTTGTTTTTTTGTTTGTTTTTTTTTTTTTAATTTTATTTATTTGTGTGTGTGTGTGGCCAGCTCAGCCCACCAGGGGGCAGGGCTGGCTGGCATGTGGTGCTGGGGGATTGAACCGCGGTCCCTTTGCTTTTGTTAAGCTTGTTCTAAGTAGGTGCTTTAGACCACTGAGCCATCTCACCAGCCCCTCTGCGTCCTTGTTGAAGTAAAGGGGACTCCCAGCCGGCTGGCTGCAGTTTCATCCAGTTTCCTGCACATGGCCAGGTGCTGTCCACGTGAGACCTGCAGGTGCAGGGCCTGGCCCTCCTAGAGGAGGCTCATGGAGCGGGCAGGAATCTGTGGAAGGCTGGCGGGGTCCCCGGAGAGTGCACCCCTTGCTGCCAAGGTTGGTCTAGAAGTGTGGCCAGAACTGGAGGCTGTTCCATTTGTCCAGCAAATCTGGCCCTGCTTGCTTGTCATACCTTCTTTTCAGAATAAGGACTAATTCCTTTCCTTACCTCTTGGGATTGAAGAGAACAAATATGTTAATATTGGTTAATTGCCCTGTTCTTTCTGCCTAGGTCTTTTTCACAGCAAAGTAGTACAGCTGCCCTCTGTCCCTTTTTATATGTCCCTGCTATGTCTTAGTTCAGATGGACAGCTTTCATGCATTGATGACCTTGTTCAGTAGGGTGCTAGGTGGGAGGGCCTCTGACTGCAGGCTTGAGAGAGACGTGTGCAGGATGGTGGCCTCACCTGCTCTGCTCTGTCTGGCTGCCGAGATGCGGCTGCACAGGGTCCTGTTCTCATAACCCCTGGTCCAACAAGTAGGGCTGCTTCCACCCCCACTCTCATGGGAATAATCCCTGACTCCCTTGGGGCCACATTGAATGCACGTTTGTAGCTCTGTGGAAGTAGAGATTTGGGAGTTGGAGGGGGCCGTCACCCTCAGGTCTGGAGACTCACTGCTGATCTGGTACCTGCAGGGACCTAGAGTTTCATGGTGAACCTGCTACTAAGTGTTCCATTCACAAGATGAGGGACCAGACTTACAGGAGACAGAAGAAAATGGAAGGAATCATAACTCTGGGCCATTTTGTTTGCTTTTGCTTTTTAAATTTAGACAAGGTATCACTCTGTAGCTCAGGCTGGCCCTAAATTGTGGTCCTGCTTCACCTGCCTCCCAAGTGCATACTGGGATTGCTGGCACGCACCATCGATTATGCCCCGCAGATCATAGCCTTCGTGGGTGAAGCAATCCATCTTGTCCAGAGACTGCCCTGCTGTGGTGCTGTTGAGACCTTCTGGGGCCAGTGACACTGGGTGCAGTCACAGGGTGCCAACCGCCTTGGGCAGGTGAAAAGAGGCCCGATGACAAGCAGGAGCTTTGTTCCCGTAGGAAACATCCGAACTCCTAGAGAGCGGAGACTGAATAAAAGTCACGTGCCGGGGAAGTGGCCTTCGCTGCGTACACTGAGGGGAAGGAGTGGTTTTCCTCCTAGGAGTGGAGCCCAAGTCTCTGACAGCAGCTCTCAGTCACTGGCTATCCCCTTGGTGGAAGGACCTTGTGTCACTGTGCTAGTGCCAGTCACCATCCTCCTTTCTCCCCTGAGTAGTTTGTTAATGTAAATGTTCCTGTCTGACACCATTCCTCAGTGAGTGCCTGAACTAAGGCTGACCCCCAAGTAAGTGCTTCGCTTTGTCCCCTGCTGACCCCAGGTCCGCGGTGCCACTGCTCCAGGTGCTGTCCCGGGGCTCGCCCATGGCCTTTGAAGACTCGAGTCGAATCATCCCGCTCTTTTACCTCTTCAGCTCTCTCTTCAGCCATTCACTGATTTCCATACATGACAACGAATTCTTTGGTGATCCCATAGAAGGTAAGCATTTTGAGGAAGCAGGTTATGGTCGCCCACACGGCTTGCACATTTTTGTAGACATGGAAAGGTTTCAGGCCTTTACAGCCCCTTAGTATGTGCAGAGAAGTGGAGATGCAAAGCCAGGATGCCTGTGCTCCACAGCTGGCTGTGCTCAGTTGCAGGTCAGAGACAATCGTCCATGATGCCTTTCACGCTGGAGGAGCTGGTCATGCTGTCTCGCTGCCTCCGTGACGCCTGCCTCGGGATCATCAAGCTGGCTTACCCAGAAACAAAGCCAGAGATTCGGGAAGAGTACAGTGCTGCCTTCCGGAGCATCGGCGCCCCGACCAGCTCCGAGATGCAGCAGTGCGTTCAGATGCAGCAGAAGCGCTGGGTTCAGTTGTTCAAGGTACGCAAAGTCTGCATTTTGTTGTTGGCCGTGTTGGATGGCATGCACAGGTTTGTTTTGGTTTTATTCATTTTGCAAGAATAGAAATACAGGCTTGTAGAATTTTGATTTTTTGATACATGCAGTTCAGTCTGGCTTTGAATGCAGTGTGCAGCCCAGGCTGACCTCGAACTTCAAGGCATCCTCCTGCCCCAGCTTCCAAGTCCTGGGGTACATGTGTGCACCACCACACCTGGCTTAGGAATAATTTTTAGTTTGCAAACCTTTAAAAAAAAAAGTCATCTTTATTTTGTTGTAAATTGTTCTTAGTGATTTATATCTATGGTGAAATATAAATAAAAATTTTAAACGTTTTTATTTTTCACTAAAGTATTTTTTACAGACTTTATTGCTTCAAAACATTAACCTTTAATTGGCCATTAAGTTTTAATACAAGTTGTATATGAATTATTCTAAAGTGTATTTGTTTCCTAATCAGTCAGAAAAGGATCTGTGAGTTGCATGGCCAGAATGTTGGCAGGAAATAACCATTATCGAGGATAGTACTGGTGGGGAGAGAAAAAGAGAAAAGGTTCTTGACTTCCCATGAAATTTCTGCAGCAAACACATCCAGTCAGCTAAAATCGCTCATTAAAGGAGCAAGAGCAGAAGAAATGCATTTTCCAAATTGAACGCTAGATTTACAGTCCGTTCAGTACTGGTGACCCCTCGCACGCTAATGTTCAGCTCGAGTCATCAGCTGTCCCCTCAGGCCTTTCATCACTGCTTTTGTCAAGCTATCTATTTAATTGAAAGAAGTTAATTGAATGAAAATGATCAACTAAGCTTGTATTAATATTGCTAATGGAACTTTCTTCTTGGCCATGTTTGGAGAAAGATGTCAAGCTAGACTTTAGGAAAGGCCCCTTAATGCTTGCACTTAACCTGATGGGCTAATTAAGGAGTGCTTATTCATCCTACAAGTCTGCGACAGTCTCTCTCCAGCCCATTCTGCCTGATTCTACAACACATTTCACTTAGGAGCATGAGCATTAGCTGCAGTGAAAGTAACTGATAATGTTTTGATTGCATTAATACAGGACTAATGCATCATTGAATTCATAATTTGTACAGATTGATGTGATACATGTTTGCACAATTTGTTTTAATTACCTGTCTGTATTCCTAAGTAAACTTTAAAGGTTGCAAGTTGAGCCCTTTATATGTCCTTTCTTGAAGATTGGTGATTTTGCAATTTCTCTTAGTTAACAATAAGCTGTCACACCTATCTGAGGCTTATAATTCTTGTGTAAGCTTTTCCTAGGTGTGGGCATTATGGTGGCATATGTGTTTTCCTGTCAGTACACATTTAATTAAACTCTGAGATCCATGCTGCTGACACTTTCTCTTACACAGCGTATCAGGTTCTGTATACAGTGGCAAATAATGTCATTGTTTTATAGGCCTGTTGAGAGCTCTATAGTTTCATGTGATAGTCTTATCTTTAAGACGCAGAAATCTCTGAATTTAATAATGCTATAAGAAACATTTTCCACCCTGGCCCTGTTTTGTTTGGCTTAAGCAATAAATGAAATTTTTATAGTGAGCTTTTTTTTTTTAATGCCTCATAGTAACTCATTGCTCTATTATTAATTATTGAAAGATTTAAGAATTAGGTGAAAGTTCACTTTAAAAAAATCTGAGCTTACAACAGAATTATTTAAAGCATTCCTGTTTGGAAAAATCCACCCAGAACCATTTTATATTTTCTGCTATTGAGCTGATCTTTTTTTTTTTTTTTTTTTTTTTTTTTTCCAGAAGTGGGGATTGAACTCAGGGTCTTGCGCTTGCCAGGAAAGCACTTATTCTGCTGAGCTGTCTGCGCAGCCCTGAGGCAATCTCTTGAAGTAACAGATACTAGAACACAGTTTGCGAGTAGTCAACATCTATAAATTTTCTTTTAAGGAAAAAGGGTCTTTATTAGGTAAAAGAGCTCATTCAGAGTAGCTCCTCATCCTGCAAGGTCTGCTACATGTTGTTGCGGTACAGCGTGCTTTGGCAGGCGGCGCTGCAGGTGCCCCGCGCAGTGGAGCCCTGCGTGCCTGCCCAGCAGATGCAGCAGGCAAGTTCGGTCTGAATCTTCACCTGCCCTGGTGACTCCAAGATGGAGCAGAAGGAGGGCGAGTGCGCTCTGCCAGAGATTCCCTGGCTTGTGCTGCCTCTCCCAGAGTTGCTGGTGACAGCCCGGATTCCTCCTGTGTTCTATTTCCATTTCTGCGCTGGCGGCCCTGGTTCATCGTGTGAGAGGTGCTGGGTGCTCGCGGAGAAGCGCGCTTCCTCTAAGTGGATAGAGCCATCCTTCTCTGTCACGGCAAGAATGGAGGTCAGTCTCCAAGCCCTCCACTGACACTGCTAAAACAGTTTATACATTTATCAAATTTATAAACGCTTGAAATATAATTTATAGCTATAATTGCTGTAGCTATGTGAGAAGCTGGGGAGTCCTGTTGTGATGTGGCTTTGTGTGCAGTGCTGACCTTGGCCAGAGCTGGCTGGAGGTGTGGTGTGGTGCAGCTATGGGGTGCTTTCCCAAACAGGCAGGAGGCTGGGAAACGGGTCCTCGCTGTCTTGGTGTTGATTTGTATTTTTCTATATTTAAAAAAAAAAAAAAAAATTTAAAATGACAGCAGCAACAGCAATACTCTGGCTAACCCTGACACATGCTGTTGTTACCGACTGCTGTCAAGCACAGGGCAGAGCAGTGTGCACCCAGCACCTCTCTTCTGTCCTGGTGAGGCTGTCCTGTCTTGGAAGGTCAGTTGGAGTTGGAGTTTTTTTGTTTGGGGTTTTTTTTTGGCAGCTTATTAGAATGGATGCCTCAGGAAGTAATTTAGTAGTGTTATGTTTCATTTTCTAGTGTGTGCTTGGAGTGCAGTTGTTACATTTCCCTGGGGGGTCTGACATGTGTATGTGACACTTTCTCATCACTTTGACCCCCTTTCTCCACCCCATGTCCCTCTTTGATTCCTGTCCTCCAGCTTTGCAGAGTCTGCCTTTTTGTTTCCTCTCCTCTTCCCTTCATTCTCATTTATTTATATTTTAAGTTTCTCATGTTTTTTTTTTTTTTTTTTTTTTTTTTTT